AGAGAGAGAGAGAGAGAGAGAGAGAGAGAGAGAGAGAGAGAGAGAGAGAGAGAGAGAGAGAGATGAAACAAAAATAAGACGCCATCAGCGAGTGTTGCCGTGCGCCGCAGCGTAGCCATGGCGGGGTCCACTTGTTTTTTTAAAAGGCTAAGCCCAACCAATTCAATTACCTGTCAAATCTGGGACCTTGTCCCACTTGCACCGTTTCGTTGAGGCAGCTCAACGGTGCGACAGCTAAAAAAAATCATTATAATTCAATTTCAAATGAGAAATGCATTTATAAATGGCAGGAATACAATTGTTCTCGTTTTTCATTTTTAACAATTGGAGTGGCATACGGGCACTTCCACAGCAGAAAATGAAGAGGTGCCCGAATCCCGTCCAAAAATGGCAAACGGAAGGGGAAGGAGGCTCGTACAGTTTCTCTTGAAAAACGCCTGTTGGGGGAATAAGAGGGTCGTTGAACTAGCTGTAGCTGTCTCGAAAAAAGGAGACAGCTAGTTCAACCGAAAGTGGCGAGGGTAAGGGTAGTAGTATTCGAGAGAAAGGATTTGTTTCTGTTTTTTGTTGTAAGAAAAAGCGAAGATGGTCTCTATAACGGATTGGACGACGTGCATCGCCCTTGTCGCGTACAGTCACACAGGCCTCGCTCAACGGAGCTAGTGGGACAAGGTCCCTGGACAGGACGGCCTTTCAGGCCTTTTTTATTGTCATTATACTATTACGGGGAACCCCGGGACAAGGTCCCTGGACAGGATGGCCTTTCAGGCCTTTTTTTATTGTCATTATACTATTACGGGGAACCCCGTAGCAGCCACATCCGTTCTCAAGCCTCCAAAGAGGGAACATGCGGGAGCTGCACCCACCAGCAGGTGCGATACCTGCTACAGCAGGTGGGCGATACCGGCCAGGGGTCAACCGGTAGCATCAGGACCGAGCTTCTTCGATGGGCTAGTCACTGTAGTCTCTGCTCAATGCCACTCGGGGGGACCAACGGCATATCTCTAGGTGGCGGGCGCCAAGCTTGCCCAGGAAGGTACATGAGGCCAATGGGGATTGAACCCAAGACCTCCTGAATGCCACTTGCGTGCCTTACCAACCGAGCTAGGCCGCTGGATACGACCAGGGTTCTAGTGAAGTCTGACACATTTCGGACGAAAAATGCCGTCATTTGAATTGAATGGCTGTGTCGCGAGCCCCAACGTCAGCCAAAGGCAATGTTCAATTTAAAAAAAAAAAAAAAAAAAGTTCAACGAACACACTGGGATCCAGATTCCGAAAGGTTGAGGGCCAGCAGTTAGTTACTTGTGGTCGGGATCGCAATAGAGCGAGATCGGGCTTCGGTCAGACATGCACGTCAGCGATGGCGGAGGGTGACGTCGGCCGGGTACGAGGGGCCGACAGCCTACCTTCAGTCTAGATACAGATCTAATGACCGTACGTTGTATTCGGGGGCGGACAGCCTAGCAGCAGCAGCAGCAGCAGCAGGAGGAGGGAGAAGAAGAAGAGGGGGAGTTGGAGGAGGAAGAGGGAAGGGAGGAGGAAGAGGGAAGGGAGGAGAGGAGGCGATGGATCCTCTGGTTGCACGGTGGGTCGGTCGCAGAGGTCTACGCCTGGAGCCGGAATGGGATCGGGATCCTCTCAAGGGCCGATGCATCGTGGCTAATCGACGCTTCGAAACTGGGCAGACGGTGATGAGTCAGCAAGCTTACGTGGCAGTTCTTGATGACGAGTCGCGATCGAACAGATGCCACGTGTGCTTCGCCGCCACGTCAGCCGAGCGTCGTCTTAAGCGCTGCTCTCTGTGCAGGGTTGCCTATTATTGCTCCCAGGAGTGCCAACGTACGGATTGGCTCCTGCACGAAATGGAATGCAAGGCCATCAGACGGCAGGTCGCGTCTTCGAAACCGAGCCCGACTTCGACTCTGAGGATGATGATCCGACTGCTGACGAGGAGAAGGCTGCAGAGCGAAGGGGAGATGCCAGAGGCTGACGTGGACCGTTTCTCCGCCGTCGAATCGTTGCGATCGAACGTGCTCGACACGCCGCGGGATAAGCTTATCCTGTATGGGCAAATGGCCCATCTTGTTCTTTCAATGCTGTCTCCACCGTTAGTAGATGGAGTGGGGGAGAGCGAGCAGCACTCCAAAGAGGAGGAGGAGGAGGAGGAGGAGGAGGAGAAAGAGAAGACGAAGATGATGACCGAATCACGTGTGCGGGAAATCATTGAGCTGTTTTGTCGTTTTGCTTGTAATGCTCACAGCATATGCGACGACGAGATGAGGCCCTTCGGATTAGGTCTGTACACAGTCTTATCCTTGGTGAATCACAGTTGCGATCCCAACACAATCTTGCTATTCGATGGGAGGACAGCAATCCTCAGGGCAGTGAAAGCGATCGACGTTGGCGACGAGATCTGTTTCAGCTACGTTGATCTCGCAGGAAGCACCAAGTCACGCCAGAAACTTCTGGAAGAGCAGTACTACTTCACCTGTAGGTGTTCTCGATGTGCTCCCTGGATGGAGGAGGAGGAGGAGGAGGAGGAGGAAATTAAGATGGTGCAGTCGAAAGAGGAGAAAGAGGAGAATAAAAAGAATACGAATAATAATAATAATAAGAAGAAGAGAGAGGAGCAAGAGGTCGTGGACGCCATAGCTGAGGGGTATCACTGTGTGAATTCTGCTTGTAATGGTGCCTTGCTTGATGTCGCAGAGAGAGTGGGGAATGGGGTTGTTGCTTCCTCCTCCTCCTCCTCCTCCTCCTCATTATCATCATCATCGTCATCATCATTGTCATCATCATCGTCATCATCATTGTCATCATCATTGTCATCATCATCGTCATCATCATTGTCATTATCCTCATCATCGGAGCTTCTTCGATGTGCCACGTGTCAGCGATCTAGAGTGCGAAACGCGGAGTTGGAGATGGAGGCCAAGCGAGGGAAGGATGCATTTGACATGGCTATGAAGTTTCGATCTGAGAATGACTGGGAATCTGCCACGTGTCAGCTGCTCGTAGCAGAGAAAGTTCAAAGATCTATCCTTCACGGATTGTCGGTGCCTTTGATGAGGACTAGAGATGAGTTGATGAAATGTTATATTACCAATCAAGACTGGGAGAAGGCTGCAATTTACTGCCGGCTAACTCTTCCAGCCTATTGCCAGGCATATCCTCCTCTCTCTCCCCTTCTCGGGCTTCAGTGGTTCATGTTGGGGAAGCTGGAATGGTACCTGGAGCGGACAGCGGCAGCGCGGGATGCCCTCCGATCTGCCGCTCGTATCCTCCGTATTACTCACTCTCCTCAAAGTGACCTTATCCGGGGCTTGAATGATCTCTTGCGAGACGTGGAAGTAGAAGCGTCGGTCACCTCCTCTCGTGCAATCTCGTTGATGTCTGAACCGATGGAAGAAGATTGATCACTGACTCATTGCTTTGATCGATTGGATGGTTTGATGAATTTGTTGATCGATCTATTGAGTGATTGATTGATCGAATCCTAACCAATCAATCAACCTATAGATCGGTCGATCCATCGACGGATTGATTGATCGATCGATCTCTGTGGGTGACTGATTAGGTTTCGATCGACCGAGTTTTGATTGATTGGTTGATCGATGGATGATGGATTGACTGATTGATTGATTAATTGGCGGATCATTGATTGATTGATTGATTGACTGATCGATTGAGTTGATTGATTGATTGACTGATCGATTGAGTTGATTGATTGATTGATCGATTGAGTTGATACAATGATCGATCGATCGACCGACCATTCGGTCGATCTATTGGTTGATTGATTGATTGATTGATTGATTGCATGGGATTCGCCATTGATAAACTGATTGATTGAGTAGAAGGGGGGTCACAGGATAATGGGTTAGCTAGATTTGTCATGTTATAGGAGGGAGGAGGAAGAGGAGGAGGAGGAGGAGGAGGAGAAGGGGAGGCGTTTTTGCCGGGAGTTAGGATTCTTGATCTTATGGATGAGGATGATTCAATCATCATTTGACTGTACTTAACTGTGATTAACTGCGCCATGAAAGGTAGCCACCAGCAAAGAAAACCTCAGATATTAACGATTGATTAGGTGTGTTGGAAGAGAGAGAGAGGCAGGGAGGAAAAGGGGTGAAACTCCATGAAAGGGAACCGCTGAGTCGGCCGTCTGATTGATTGATTATTTTTTTGATCACGAATGAAGGCCTGATGAAGAATGCAGGGCTGATTTAAAAGAATGCACATAGAGAGAGAGAGAGAGAGAGAGAGAGAGAGAGAGAGAGAGAGAGAGAGAGAGAGAGAGGAGGGGAGCGAGGTGGCAGCCGGACTATAGGAGTGCTAGAGAGGAGCAAAACCTAGAGAACCGAGAGGGAGGAGAGAGGTGGGGGCTGAAGGCGGATAGGAGAGGAGGAAGGTAGGAGAGTAGGGAGGGAGGAAGGAAAAGGAGGCGAGGTTGAAGGGCGGGAGGAGCGGAGGAAGGAAGGAGAGCAGAGAGGAAGTAAGGAGGAGAGCATTGAGGAAGGGGGGAGGGAGGGAGGGATGGAGGAGAGGAAGGAGAGGAGAGGAGAGGAGAGGAGAGGAATGAGAAGAGGGAGAGAAGGGTGTTAGGAGGAACGGGTGGGAGAAGAGGGAGTTAAGGAGAGAGGCAGACAAGGGGGGGAGCAGGAGGTAGAGATGGCGGTAGAGAGAGCGTGTCATGGCGCGGGGAGTCAAATGTTCACAACATAACCGAACTTAGGGCATACTTACACTAGCAATTTCCGGAATGCATCTGTCCGCAATTACTGCAAGGCCAGGATGAATCTGACTGCAATGACGTCCAGAGCTTGGTGGATAAAGAGCCCTCGTGTGAGGATGCCTTTATGCAGCTCTCTCTCTTTCCCTTTCTCTCTGCGAAATGCAAGAGGTACCAACTTCTCAACGGCCTGCAAGTCAAGGCACTGCGAGCGCAAGGGAGCAAGGCAGCAAGGCAGCAAGGCAAGGCACGCCAGCCAGCGAGGCAGGGCTTGGCAACCAGGGGGGTATCAAGGCAACAGCCAGTGAGGCAGCAAGGGGAGCGGGCGCGGAAAAAAAGACACACAACAAGGCAGCAAGGCGGCAAAGCAGGCAGAGATCAGGAAAGGCGAGGCAAGCAGCAAGGCAGGCAGCAAGGCAAGCAAGGGCGCAATGCAAGCGAGGCAGGAGGGCAGGGCCAGCAGCAGGGCAGCAGGGCAGCAGGGCAGCAGGGCAGCCCGGCGAGCTGCAAGGGGACAAGTGAGCAAGGTAAATACGGTGTCAACGCTCCTTCTCTCCCTCTTTCCATCTCTCTCTCTTTCCCTCTCTCCCTCTCTCCCTCTCTCCCTCTCTCCCTCTCGCTAGCTCTCCACTTTTGTTTAAAGTGGATGAACAAGGTGCCAACTGCGTGCAGCTTTGATCTGTTGTTTCAGACTTACTACATTCCCGTCTAAGTGCAATGAATGCATGAAAAAAATATCGATCGATCAGCTGTGAATAGTTGTCTCTTCTCTTGCTTTGTCTGCGCAGGTCAGAGATACACCTGCTGTCAATGTCATCCTGCTGCCTTTGAGCAATGCACAGGTCATTAGCAGAGCTGAAGTTCTTCTTACTTAGGATTTTCTCCTCTTCTTCTGCCTCGTCTTTCCACTTCTGTGTCTACTCAAACTCTCTCCTCTTCTTCTTCTTCTTTCTTCTTCCGCCTCCCCTTCTCCACGCTTTGAGCCAGGATAGCAGACGGACTGTGCACCCACCCACCCACCCACACACACACACACACACACACACACACATTGGTGGGAGTAAAGTCGACCACTTTTCTCTCTCAAGGATGGGTATCGCTAGCT